ACTGTAATCAGCCCCAAAACTCCCTCCAATCCAAAAAGCTAGACCACTCAACTAACCTTTTTCATCCAAATCATTTGCCTCTTAAAATATAAATGCAATATCCCTTGACCACTTAAGTTACAAATACAATCTTAGTTGCAGGTTTAAATACCAATGAACTAACGCCCCCTTTAAAGTTCTGTATTACTTCAAACAACAATGAAACTGAAACTAAAGGTAGTAATCATACAAATTACAAATGTAATAACTAACAAGTTCAGCATAAATGCTTTAACATTTTTCTTTAATATATTGGAAAGGACCAAAAGGTGATAAATGGAGTATAATATATCAAGCACTCAAATTCGCAAAAACTAACAGAGATATAACTTCCTATTCACAAGTAAAGGTACAAACCTCCGGTCACATAGCACAAGATCCCCTCCATCAAGACATACAAAGCAAACATCTTCACCCACAGTCTTCCTTGCTGGAGCCTTCGTTGGAGTGGGCGCCTTAGAATTCCGCCCACGTCTCCGCTTCCCACCACTACCAGGCTTCTCCACATCCATTTCTGCATCAGCAATAGGCGTCTCTTCTCCTTTCATTAGTTCCTCGTCTTCTGCCACAACAGATGAATCCTCCCTTTCCCCACCTCTCACATCCTCTTCCATTTTATCAGCTTCCTCCACTCCTTTTGCCATAACCGGCGAATCCCCCATCTCCCCACCTCCTTCTCTAACATCTTCTTCCATTTTGTCAGTTTTCTCACCTCCTTCTCCCACTACCTGTGATGCCTCCTCACCTCCTCCTTCTCTCATGTCTACTTCCACCTTGTCAGCTTCCTCCCCTTCTTCTCCCATAACCGCCAATACCTCCTCACCACCTTCTCTCACATCTTCTTCCACCTTTTTAGCTTCCTCAGCTTCGTCTCTCACATCCTCTTCCACCTTGTTAGCTTCCTCACCTCCTCCTTCCCCCACAACCCCCAATGCCTCTTCACCTCCTCTTACATCTTCTTCCACCTCTTTAGCTTCCTCACCTCCTTGTCCAACAACCGCCGATACCTCCTCACCTCCTTTTCTCACATCTTCTCTCACCTTGTTAGCTTCCTCACCCTCTTCTTCTTTCACATCTTCTTCCATCTTGCTATCTTCCTCACCCCCTTCTTTTCTCACATCCTCTTTCACCTTTGTAGCTTCCTCACCCACTACCTCTCCAATAAACTCATCAACCTTGTCAATTTCCTCACCTCTTTTATCTCCCCCAAACTCATCCACCTTATCAGCTTCCTCACCTCCTTTTTCTCCCCCACCCTCTTCTACCTTATCAGCTTTCTCAACTCCTTTTTCTCCCCCAAATTCTTCCAGCTTGTCAGCTGCCTCACCTTCTTTTACTCCCACAGACGGTTCCACCTTATCAACTTCCATACATCCTTTCTCTCCCACTACCTCTTCCGGCTTCTCAGCTTCCTCACCTCTTTCTTGTTCCACTAAGACCTCGTCTGCCTTCTCAGCTTCCTCACCTCCCTCTTGTTCACCCACGACCTCTTCCGCATTCTCAGCTTCCACACCTCCTTCTTGTTCACCCATGATCTCTTCCGCCTTCTCAGCTTCCTCACCTCCCTCTTGTTCACCCACGACCTCTTCTGCATTCTCAGCTTCCACACCTCCTTCTTGTTCACCCATGATCTCTTCCGCCTTCTCAGCTTCCACACCTCCCTCTTGTTCACCCATGACCTCTTCTGCATTCTCAACTTCCTCACCTCCCTCTTGTTCCCCCATGACCACATCCGCCTTCCCAACTTCCTCCCCTCCCACTTGTTCACCCATGATCTCTTCCGCCTTCTCAGCTTTACCTCCCTCTTGTTCTCCCATAACCTCCTTCGCCTTCCCAACTTCCTCGACTCCTTCACCTCCCAACACCTGGAATTCCTTCTTAGCTTCCTCACCTCCCACCTCTTCTTCCTCCTCCTCACCTTCCTCGCCCCCTACTTCACCTCCCACACTAACCCGTCCCTGATCAAGGGCAGGCCCAGGGAGAAAAGGTCCATTTTCATGGCTCTTTCGCCCTGACATTAAATAGTTATACAAACCAAAACCTGCAACACATTAGCAACCAAAGTTGACACAATTATCAAATTAGGCTCCAAAAATTACGATAAATACTTCTCGCTTAAGAACCCTAAATTGACTATACTGATAATCAAATTAACGATAGTGTGAAATTAAACCCTAGAATTCGAAATTGATGTGACGATTAACAATGAAAGAACAGAAAAGAAAAAAATAACATCTCACCTTGAAAGCTTCTTCAATGGCGGAGAGAAAGCTCACAAGCCGCTTCAATGGAGAAATTCAGAGTACGCTACAATGGAGAATAGAGAGTGCAGCGAGGTAGCGAAAACGTGAAATGGAGCTTAAGAGAAAAAAAAAACAATAAAATAGATATACGAGGAATTACGATGACACGTGTATAAAAATATTAACTGCAAAAGGGTTAAAAATTAACTCGATACGAAAATTTCACATTTAATTAAACCACATAAACACGATTACACGAGTAGCATTAATGGTCCATTGGTCCGTAGATCCAAATTCGTTGGTAATTTCGTAAGATACGACTATATGAGGTATAACTGATTAGAAGTTTAGTTGAAACCGGTTAGATAATGTACAACGAAACTCAATCTATTACAGAATATAACTTGATAATTCTATAATTGAACTGATTTCACTAAAATGATCAAATTATTTAGACTCAAAAATTACCTTATTTTACTCAAACTTGTTATTACCTACCCACTTTACTTAAATTGTTTTGACCCAAGCTAAAACTATTTGTAACCCAATTTGACTTGACATTTATTTAACCCAACATTACTCAGATTCCACATCAAACAAATATATTACATAATCAATTTACGTAATAAAAATTACTAGAAGTTAAACAAAAAGTTTGACAAAGATAAGTTACGTTTAGTAAAAATATTTTGTAGTTATTACGTCAATAAAGAATATAATTGTAATTTAGTATATATAAGTACTAATTAATATTCTTCAAAAAAAAAGTACAAACTAATAAAAATACGCCTGAGTTTACTAAAAATAATAAAATAAAATAAAAAGTTTTAGCTTACCAAGTATAAATTAATATTAATAACAAAAAATAATTTTAATTTAGCAAAAATTAAATAGTATAAATTCATCATAAAAAAAACAAAGACTAAGGGCATGTTTCATAGACTGAACTGAACTGAAATGAATATTTTATAAGAGAAGGAAATTAGGAGCTGAACTGAACTGAGCTGAGCTTAACTGGACTGAACTAAACTGCACTGAATTGAAAATAAACGTATGAGAACAGGCCCTAAATGTTATTTGTCTTTAATTAATCCAAATTATGTAGTATTAACATTGCTCAACCAATTTCTTGTTAACATTTTTTTCAACATAGACTGACATTAAAAACTTCTTATTTGTAATAATTTTTTTATTATTTTTTATTATTGTTGTTATTATTGTTGGCAAAATTGGCAAGAAAGAATATCTTGTTTTAAGTCAATTCATGAACTAGTTACTTAGGGCTTATTTGACCTTTTTTTTCGTTTTTAAAATAAAATAAAATAACAACAAACAAGAAAAAGGTATTTCCATTTTTCTGTTGTCAGTTTTCAAAATTAACATGAATTTTATTTATTTTTTTGAAGAAAAATTAGCATGCATTTAATAAACTTAACTAATTTTTTTATTCATTATGAATTTTTTTTTTTTTTTAAAAAAAAAAAAAAGAAAAACCGTTGTGATGCCAACAAACCCTGATGGTTTTTTTTTTTGTTGAAATTAAACATATGTCTTATTTTGTTTTCCTTAACTTTCATTAGACTCTACCAAGCTAAGCTAAGTCTAATAGAAAGGGTTATACCATCCAACCTTGAGGTTGGAGGTTTAATCCTCACTAGAGACACTTTAGGGTGGGAATTCCCTCACCCTTCACCCCACTCCCAAAATGCCTAGTCAGCTAACCCGAGTCAGGGAGGAAGTGTTAGAGTTCCAACCTGGTAGGGCATATCTCCTTACCAAAAAAAAAAAAACCTTCATTAAACTCTGGGAAAAATAAACTTAAGGTGTGCTTTATACATTTGATATTTATTAAAAACTTTTGAACTCCCTCCGTCCCTGAAAGAACGACCCATTTGAGTTGGTTACGCAGGTATTAAGAAAGTTAAATAAAAAGAAGTAAAAGTATATTGAAAAGATAAATTTACATGGAGTTTGTAAAAAAATAGAGAGAGAAAGTAATAAAATTACATGGAAAATCAAATTTTTATATGGAGAAGCTAATTTTGCACAAATATTGCTGCAAATTTATGGGTGTTTTAATGCAAATGAGTCATTTTTTTGGGACTAAAATTCGGCCAAATAGGTCGTTCTTTCGGGGACGGAGGTAGTACAAAATACTTAGGTGACCTTAGGCCCTGTTTGATTCACCTTAATTAACTGAAATTATTTTATTGAACTGAAATTGAAATTATTTTTACAAAACTTAAATTATTTTTACTGAACTGAAATTATTTTTACTGATTTTTTATTATAATTCTTCTTTAAGAAAGCTGAATTTTACTGAACTGAACTTATTTTTACTGAACTGAAATTATTTTTAGTGAACTGAACTTATTTTTACTGAAGTGAAATTATTTTTACTTAATATTATTTTTTTAAGGTGAAGAGAACAGGGCCTTAATCAAAACTTACTTTTTCCAAAGTATTATGAATTTTTACACTTAAAATAAATGACAGTAATATGAACAAACTAACCCCTTAACTGAAAGTTTGAGATAAATGTGGCAAAATACAAAGACATACAGTGTAAGTTCAGATTATACCAGGTTAAAAAAACACATTATTTCGATAAGTTACAATTACTTTGTAAATTCGTAGTTCCAAATATAAAGATATTAAGAGCCATTTAAGTTTAGTTTCACGATGAATTAAGAATAATTCGTGCTTTTAAGGTTAGGTTAGGTTAGATTAGATTAGATAAGTGCAATTAAGTCAATGCGTTACCAAATCAAGTGAATGGAACTTGGATACGAATACATACTTGTTTTTCTCTGAAACCCTACATCAGCAACAACAACTCTCCAATTGAAGCATACGTAACTTAAAGTTGTGAACCCAGGTATTCTCTCTTCACCTTCTTAATTTAAATTTTCAATCCAATTTGTTTCAGTTCAATGCAATTTATCTACTTTATTTGCAATTAAGAAATTGAATTCAGTATTTGAATTCGTTTAATTTGTGTTATACACTTCCTTTGCCTGTATAAATTCAACATGTAAGCCTAAAATTCATCGAATCCTTGTTGTTTACATTCGTAATTTGATGTTAATAGATCGTATCAATGTTGAATTGATTAATTTGGTGTTCAATTGGTTGATTTGATTAAAAACAAGAAGCAGTGTGACGGATACAGGACATTTAGTTAATATCATATTCTTTGTTTTTGGTTGAATATGACAGATTAAAATGTCAAAAGTTTTATGTTGGATTTTGTGGAAAAATGAAATTGAGTAGATTTGAGTTGTTTTGCAGCTTGTGAAATGAAGGGTATGAGTAGTGGAATGGGTTATTGCTTAACTATCGGCTGGGTTCCGGGTGACCATCTAATCCCCGAAAACCACAATATTACAATGGCTTCGATGTAAACTTTAACATGATTAAGGCATTATTATTACATGTGCATTCTGGTTTCAAGATTTTGTTTGTGACTTTTTGACAGTGCGTTCGAATTGTCAATTAATCATATCTTGTTTCGAGCACTCATAAGTGGTTCATATACATTACAACATTATTTGGTTAATATGCATGTTGTTGCTTTTAGCATAATTATACGCTTCAACTTTTTTTTGAGTGTATTTGGCTGTTTGTCTTATAATCAACTCGTCATTGTCCCATAGATGATTTGATAATAGTCAAGTTGTAATTTGTATAGCTTTAATGTCATTGCAGTTGAGATAAGAAGATGATTTTGCATTGTTATGTGGGCTATGTTGAGGTATATAATCCAAAGGGATATTACTTGTAATGTTTTGTTCTATGTTTGGGCACTATTTTTGTGCACGATGGTAGGATTTAATTGGAGCTTTGCATACTCGAGTGACCAATCTGACCACATCAGACAAACTTCTTATACTGGGAGCATCTGGATTTTCTAGTGTGCCTGTTTGTATGATTGTGTTTGCGTAATGCTGTTTTGGTTTACCCTATATCACAGTCCGCCTTCGTAGTTGATAAAATCTCAAGGTTGACCCATGGTAAAGACGTTAAGAACTGGTGGTGCAAGGATTGCTTAATGCTAAATAATGTGATATGCAGTTGGTAGATGGCTTGTTTTGTTATTTTTGTTTTTCTGTAATGGAGAAAGTAGAGGAGTTTTATTGCATCTTATAGATGTGGCATTGGGTGTGCTGTATGATATGGACAGGGAGAAAGTTGCAGCTCGTGGGGGTGTTTTTGTTTTGGCATTTGTATACACCGGAGGCGGGTAGTTGGCGTACAGAAGGAAGGTTGTGAGAATGAGTTCAGACGGGGACAGAAGCAGGAGCAGGAGCAAAAGTATGAGCAAAAGTAGAAGCAGAAGTAGAAGCAGAAGTAGAAGCAGGAGTCCAGTAGATCGAAAGATTCGTAGTGAACGCCAGTCATTTCGTAGTGCACCTTATGGGAGAGACCAACGTCGGGGTTTCAGGTTTTTTGTTATTGCTTGTTGGGCTGTTCAATTACCTATTTGCCTAGTCTTTCTATGAATAGCTGTGGAGAGGTGGTAACTTATTCTATTAAAACAAAATATAATGGTAAAACTGACGTGAGATTCTCCTGTTGTGTGTGTGTGTGTGTGTGTGTGACCTCTCTAAAATCATTTCGTTGTACCTCAATGTCTTATGGAATGAAGGGTCTGTCATGGTGTGCTAGTAGTTATAGTACGATGTTCTTCATTAGGAGTCCTAAAAGTTTGGTGCTAGTACTAAGTCTGCTGGCTTTTGTTTTAGTTATTTTTCCTCCTCAATATATTTTGCAACTGTTAATGGATTTCTTCGTAAGTTGATTTTATATAGGGACTTTATGTGAAACTAGTCACACTTCATATTTGGGATAATTTCTACAGATCTTGAAATTATTAATTGAGTATAGTGTCTTGATAATAATTCCTTTGAAATCAGTTTGAAGTGAGGTTACTTACAATATGTGTGTTTGTGAGTCAATGGTTTCTGACATGATTATTTGCATGCAACAAACTCTTTACCTGCACATTTTCCATTTTAATTTACAATTGGCGTGCCTCAACTCTTACTTTGGTAAGTTGCATAACAGCCAACATATATGAATGCTGGGATGTAATGTTCTAGGGAAGTCTGATGGTTTTAATAATCGGCCAATTTTTATGACTAGCCCTTTTGGCTAAATGATTTTAAAGTGAAAAGAACTGTGATCAAGAAGTATTTTTGTGGGACAACTCTCTCTAGCTTCAGTGCCTCTGTGCTGATGTGAACTCTCGCCCTTCTCAGTGGACTTTATCATTTGTGGTTTTCTTAAATACTGAGTGAATTTAAATTGGATTACGTTAGGGTATAGTTTTCTTGAATACAAGAGTTAACTTCCCCCTTCTGATATTTTTCCATACATTCTTTATGGCTAAAGATGTTGAATCTTTTTTTTCAAGAAAAACTAATATAGTGTCTCCATATCTTATTAAGTCGGCCTTAAAACTCAAGTGGACTTCAAGAAGACAAGGGAAAGCAAATAGTTAGTGTGGCAGAGCCATGAAAGAAGAAATATATAAACGATTAAGAGAATTATTGCTAAACCTGATAATAATGAAGAGGCAAAGCGAAGATGATATAAATTGTAGAACTGGTTGTAAATAATATCAAGGCGACGCTATATTCAACGGAGGCTGCATGTGGACGTGTAAAAGACCCTTTAACAATGTTTTCTTGTCATGTTGGCATTGTTGTTATTAATGGTTAAGTGCTTTTTTATGATTCTTGAAACACATTTTATTTTTAGCTGAAGTAAATATTCATGGATATAGGAAGCTTATTGCCAAATATTTATGCTCCCCCAAACACCCCCTCTCTTTTCTCTTAACTGAGGATTATGACTTTTCTTGATTGTGTATTTTCTTTCAGCCAGAACAATCTGTGCAAGAATTGCAAGCGCCCTGGCCACTTTGCTAGAGAATGTCCTAATGTAGGCATTTGTCATAATTGCGGTCTTCCTGGGTAAGTATGCTGCATAATTATCATTTGCTTTGAATTGCCAGCACAATCTCTGTTTCTTTGTTTACTTTTTTTTTTTTTTGTGTGTGTGTGTGTGTGTGTGTGTGTGTGTGTGCGCGAACGCACGCGTGTGTACACTCTTTATATTTAGTTTGCGCGTGTGTGTGCGCGCGCGTGCGTGCGTGGGGGGGGGGGACAGAGAGAGCTCTTGGTAGATGATGTTTTTTGAAAGTTAATCAAGAAACTTCAAACTTGTATAAAAATCTCCTTTCCAAGTTTTGCTGCTTTTCATAGCAACCTTACCTTGAGTTGATAAACTATAAAGTTCAAGGTATTAGTTTATGTGCTTGACCAAGGTTCAATTCATGTTTTAGGAAGTTGTAGGGCAATTTACATAGTGCCGTAGTCCCTTTTTCCTGCTGCTTTAGGAGGCTCTAAGCTTCTAATTGCCCTAATGATCTCTGACTTAGAGGGTCAGTGCCTTATTATCACTTGTTGTATGTAGTGGGATTGGTTGAGGGAGTTCATTAATATTATTTTTTCTATCCTGTTTTTCAGAATTGTGTTTCTATTCCCTCCCCCTGGCCGCCGATCTGCCACCTTTGAGCAGTTAGTCATAAAAACTGTTTTGAAAATGCTGTTAGTTTTTTGGTTGTTTGTTATAACAAGTATGGTTTCGTCATAGTTTGTCTGGTTATTTTCTATCAGGCACATTGCCCTGGAATGTACCACAAAGTCTCTTTGTTGGAACTGTCGAGAACCTGGCCACACAGCCAGCAGCTGCCCTAATGAGGGCATTTGTCACAGGTGTGGCAAGGGTGGTCACCAGGCCAGGGACTGTCATGTCCCACCACCGCCACCTGGTGATGTGAGGTTGTGCAACAACTGTTACAAACAAGGCCACCTTGCACCGGATTGTACCAATGAGAAGGCCTGCAACAACTGTAGGAGGACAGGTCACCTTGCTCGAGACTGTACTAATGAACCTGTCTGCAACCTGTGCAACTTGTCAGGACACGTAGCAAGAGGTTGCCCTAAGGCGGATGATCTTGCTGGGAGAGGAAGTGTGGTTCGAGGTGGCGGTGGTGGTTACAGTGGTGGTGGCGGTTACAGGGATGTTGTATGCAGGAACTGCCAGCAGCTAGGGCATATGAGTAGGGACTGTGTTACACCAGTGATCTGCAATATGTGTGGAGGTCGTGGTCATCTGGCATATGAATGCCCTTCAGGGAGGTACTTGGACCGCTACCCAAGGAGGTACTGATTGTTGAAGCTTATCGTGTAATGGCTATCCATGATAATTAGGTGTAACGGCATATATTTTGCCAGTTAGTTGTGTTACCAGAATCTTGAAGTAGACTTTTTTTAGGTTCAGCTGAGGTTTTAAGTTAACAAGTTTCAATTTGGTCTTTGAGTGCTGTACTAGTGAATGGAATTTTTAGCATTATTTGAAGTTTGTTGAAGTTGAGATTTGAAGAATTTAGTATTTCAATCCATTTTAATTTTATCATATCAAGATTATTAAAAACTATCTTGTTGCTTTTATCTCAGTCCTGATTTCTTTTAAAAGCTTGTTTATTTGTTAGCCTCATTACAGATTTGACCCCTTGGTAGAAGCCTAGAAGGATATGGAAGAGTCTTATTGGCTTTGAAGGTGAATATATATTTTAAAAACTCGATAAACTTCAAGGTTTAACGTCGTGCTCTTCCTTATGGGCGAGCCTTTGCTTGATTACGCTTGATAAATACATTAGCTGGTGTGTTTTTAAAATGCCTGTTTGGAGCAGCTTACACATACCTGGATCTGTGCTACCTATTTTGTCAAGGTACAATTACTAACCCTTGGAAACTGTCTGCATTTCAAAACTTATGTGTGTATAATTCTTACTCCTATCATCCTATGCAATTATATTATGATATATATCAGTAAGTTATGTAATTTGTATGCATTAGTCATAGGTGGCTAAAACATAAGTTCTTGTGGCTTGGTGATGAGAGTGCAATATTGTATCAGGAAAAATGGCCTGCTGGATTGTTACCGCCAAACTTCTTATAGAATGAATATGATTGTCGATAGGGAATTTGGCACGTTAAAGATCTAAATACAATTTTCTTGGGTTTTTAGGACGTTGTCTCCTATTAATTGCCTAATTAGTCGACAAATAGATGTCAGAAAAGTTGTAAACATTGAGAAGAGTACAACAATATCTTACTCATGTTATCATCTTTCACTAAACACAGGAAAAACTCGAAAAGTAAAATCGAAAGCAAAAGAAGCTTAATTAAGGTTTCAGTAGTTAACTCCTAGGTCCCTCTGATTCTCTTACTTGAAACATCCGCAAAGGTTTCTTATCAAGAAACTTGCAGACATAACAACCCTTAAAAAGCCAATAAAGAGTCATCTTGCTTACTGCAGACTGAAGATTTCTGCTGTACAACTCTGCTTCTGTTTCTGTTTCTGGTTCTGTTTCAATTGATTAAGTAATTATTAACAAGAAAGCGAAAAGATGAATCTACCAAAACATGTAGAGGCCACTCACATGCAGTTTGATTACCTAAAAAAGCAAAAAGTATTTCTTACAAGTTATAATATAAACAAGATTTGGAAGAATGTTGTTGGTAGGATGACAAAAGTGTGATCCAAGTTTTCTCAGTTGATTCTTCTGATTCAGTGAATTATTGACAAACAGCTGATTGTATGACCACAACTTTTTTTTATGCTTCGTTTGCTTCCACTCATACTTTTGCACTCCACTCTCACATTATACAGTACAATTAGTTGAGGAGAATAGCTTATTTTATGTTGTAAAGTTTTTGTTAGGCAACTTTGAATAATACAATGTCGAGCTGAGTAGTTTGTGAACGGATCATCTCATTTACACCCCTATGTAACATCTACTGTTAGCTTGAAGTACAGTATGTGTGATTTATACTAATACGATGGACATTAAAGACAATTGTTTTAACTGCTGTTATGTTTTCGATTGTGCAATTCTAGTCGTAAAAATTCCTGTCAGACGATGTTGTCTGGTGTGTGAATTGTTTCTGTACATGAGATGGATAGGAGAATGGAAATCGTTTATCCTTATGAATATGAGATACTAACTCAAAATATTAAGAGCTAACAATAACTGAATTGTCAAGGATAATGTTTGGGATGAACAACATATATGAATTGACAAGCTAAGCATGGTTGCATACATGTAAGCCAGAAATACTGGTTGTTTCAGTCTTTCACATATATTCTCCATATTGAGGCTTGGCAAAAAACTAACAAATACGAGTACATATTATCACATTGCGTATTATATAGTGATTAAATGATACTTCGTATGATACTTCTGCATACCATTTTTATATCGTTGTTTAATACAATACATACTTTTTCACGAATTCTATTATCAATTATTGGTTGTAGTTAAGGGTAGACTTTGATCTAATAATTGATGATAGCCATCAAGAGTGAAGACATGACAATTGTAGCAATAACAAGACATAAATCCACATAAAATTAGAATATGTATATGTGTTATAGTCTTTTTATCTGTATTTTTGGTTGTTAGTGGTAAAGTCATTATCTCATAGCTGAGGAATCTCCAAGTCTGAAGCAAATACAAAGGTCTGATGCAAACTGGGTCTCACGTGCAGCCGCTATTTACTCACAAGAACTACCATTATTCATGCTCTCTTGTAAATTCTTTCCATAGTAAGTAAAAATAAATTAAAAAAAAAAAAAACATGATTTTGTTTTCATTAAAAGAAATAAACAAGAATAACTAATTACTTTTTATAAAAGTGAGTAATACGCCATTTTAAATACAATATTATATGTCCCACACTTGTATTACTTGAGAATCTGCTAACCAATCAATATCAATTAAAGTACTACTTTATTAGATAATCAAGTATACCCAATGCTTCCTCTGTTTTCATAATAATCGAGTTTTATGCTTTGGAACACACAAATTAAACATTTAGTATCTTTACTTTATTTAATGTTCAATAAGAAAACTATAAAATGTTGACATATTGAAAGTATAAAATCAACAACTCTAACATGTATGATATTAGAAAACTGCATATTACCTTGTGTTTGAATTACAACCGATGGTTAATGAATAAAAGTCCGATTGATGCAATATTATTGGAGAAACGGGGAAGTAGTATAATTAATTTAGCAGCCTACCATAATATTGTTTTGCAAAAGCGTGAATGATACATCAAATGTCATCACATTATTCTCATCTTATTATTTGGCCGGAATGATTGAGTTTGTGCACAATTGTTTTGTTTAATGGTTTATTATCTTAATCTCAAGTTGGAAAGAAAGTGACCAACTTGTATACACTAGGTTTTTTTTTAAATTTTTATTTTTTTTATTTTTATTTATTTATTTTTATTGACAAGTGCTAATTAAATACTACTAGTTTTAGTTGAATATATAGTTTGTTGCATTTGCAATATGTTTTAGTACTTTTTTTTTTTTATCAATTTATGTAATTATTCATCGTTGGCCTTATTTGGTAGGCAAAGTTTGGTGGCAACTCATTATATTCGAAATTCATGAATATTGACATTAATCTTATATTCTAATGTCTTCTTTTGAGTTTAGCCTTTTTCCGAAATATATATATATATATAAATGATAAAATTAATATAGATAGAAGATAGAAGAAAGAAGAAAATTTGGTAGTTTGATATAGTGAACATAATTGAATTATCATAATTTTTATCCATTATTGTAACCTAAAATAACAAAAAAAAAAAAAAAAAAAAAGTGGCTAGTTGCTCCAACAGAGACAAACATTCCATTTGGTACAAAACTTCAAACTAAATTCTAAATTTAATAAGTACAAAGACATACTTCATGAAAATTAAACTTGGATTACAATTGATACATGTACCATTGGTTTCTATGTTCTTCATAATCCTTCTTCCGTTTTAAGTTGATCATTAGTAAAGTATTAAAAACCGCACTAAATAAAATACTTCATTCGTTTAAAGGACGTCCATGTTTACAGTCATGTAACACTTCAAAAATGTTTATCATAAATTTATAATTATTGCTAGTTTGTTGAACTCACTTCAATGTGAAATTTTAATTATCAACTTTATATTTTACCAATAGGATTAAACGAGTACGATATAAAGAGTAAAACCTCATAAATAAGTTGGAAAAAATACAAGATGGAAAACAATAGAGTAAAGCCAACACAAGTACTACTAACTTCAACTTTATGCTTATTAATTGGACCTACATATAATAAACTATAGTCTTCAATATCCTTTTTATTTTGTGACTCATATTTTTGCTATGCATGTGACTTCCCAAATTAAATTACCCATCTTGTCGGTTATTACAACCTTCCCACCCCCACCTCTTCTCTTCTCTTTTTCTCGTGAATAATCCCATTAATATTTTTTAAAAAAGATTTAATTTATATCCAATCACAATTTTACACGCAACTACCACCCCCCTTAATTTGGCAATAAAAGCCAACTTTCTTCTCAACTAACAAACACAACTTAAACCTCTCCCTCCAAAAAAAAAACTAACTTATTAACAACCTTAACTAAGAAAATGATGAAAATGAAACACACATTATTTCCTCATTTTTTTGTTACACTTCTAATGTTGTTACTTACTAGCATGCCATATTTGGTGTACTCATATCATGATTACCATGAGGCACTTGTTAAGTCTATTCTTTTTTTTGAGGGCCAAAGATCGGGTAACTTGCCCCGAGACCAACGGGTCGAGTGGCGTGCTCACTCGGGTCTCGGGGATGGATTTGAGCATGGTTTGGACCTTACGGGCGGGTACTACGACGCCGGGGATAATGTTAAGTTTAATTTTCCTATGGCCTTTACCACCACAATGTTGGCATGGAGTGTGGTGGAGTTTGGGGAGTTTATGCCTCCTAGTGAGCTGAGGAATTCTTTGGTTGCTATTAAATGGGCTACTAATTACCTCCTCAAGACGGTTTCTCAGCCCAATAGGATTTATGTACAGGTAATTTAATTGATTTGTTGATCTTATTTTAATTTATTTTTATTGGTTCATATGCATGGCTGCTTTTGGAAACATTATCTCTAATGTTTTGTACGAATGTGATTAATAAGGATAAAATTGCGTACATCTGCTTGAAGTCTGTTTGTTTTGTTGAGCGAAATTATGGATTAATATTGGGTTATTGTTGTTGTAGTAGTATGCATGGAGGTTTTGTAATTTTGCATTTCGGTTAAGGGTAATATTGGAATTTTTATTGTGTAGGTGATTAATTGGATTTAGAAACCATAATTAAGTGGGATTAGCCTAATACGCCATTACTATTAGTAGTAGTTAAGGAGTGTGTTTTGGTTCTTGTGTGTTAGTGAAGATATTATACTACTCCGTATATTGGACCCACAATTTACTTGTTTATTCACCAAAAAGGTTGAATTGGTGGGCCATAGTGAAAAATATGGCAATTATCTTGACATTAGGGAGGAGAAATTAAACCAATTTGATAATTAAGACATAAAATAAAACACCTAAACATAATTTTGCTTGCTTGTTATCAAGTAGCCATAAGCCATGCAACAAGCCAAATTAGCCATTTTGCATACAGAGTAATAGAGTACTACTTTTACTCCTTCCGTCCTATTAGAATTATCTTATTTAACAATTTTTATGAGAGTTTTTTTAAATCCATTGGTCAATCTTAGTGTAACGGAAAAAGTATATGATTGATTTTCTAGTACTTGAAGGCGCTAAACTATAACTACAAGGTGTTTAATAATTGAAATGTAAAGACAAAATGCACATAGTTTGAGATGTTTCGCATAAATGCTGTCTAGATACAAATTTTTACAAATTTTAGGAATCTCTCGTACATAGACGAAAGTGTTTGGCAGGAAATGCATATTTCTGCCCCCATTTTTTTTCCATAGTTACTGATATTAGATATTTTTTCCCTATAAAATTACATTTAAATTCATTTCCATTACTATCATTTTTATTACACTTCAAAGTGTTGGTAAGATGTTTAATGATCCATACACTATTTTATACTATTAGAGATGCGTGAATCTCTCACCATCACCGTCAATGCAATATGGGACATAAGTCATGCATATATCTTTTGTTCCCTTTCCTAAAAGATCCGCCATTCTCATAAGATCGAGAGGGTCACCCCATATCGTGTTGGGGCTATGTTTGTTTAGCCATTTATAACAAACCATGCGTGGAGAGTATTAATTAGTACGAGTACTATTTCATAACTTAATTGTACGGATATTCTTAAGGCTTAACAATACGTCTCCTTTATTACAATTAAATTTATCACTAGTTATACCATAAAGTCACGTGGGTGTCAATTAGTTTAGTTGATATTAAAATTTGTAGCAAACACTTGTCTTCTTATTCTATTAAGGATTGTAAAAGCCAAATGTTTATGATGATACCGACATTCTTGTTAGTCGTTACTAACTTACGATGTTACATACGTTGTTTAACTTGTGTATGTTTAACTTGTGTTAACTTACTACTACATGCAGGTAGGTGATCCAATTAGTGACCATAATTGTTGGGAGAGGCCAGAGGATATGGACACTAAAAGGACAGTCTACATGGTTGATGCACCAAATCCGGCTTCCGATGTAGCCGGTGAGACCGCGGCAGCCCTAGCAGCCGCTTCATTGGCCTTCCGATCAGCCGATCGTGGCTACTCGGAAACCTTGTTAAGAAATGCCCAAAATGCCTTTCAATTTGCAGATAGCTTTAGAGGAGCTTATAGTGACAATTCAGATGTTAGAGGTGGTGCCTGCCCTTTCTATTGTGACTTTGATGGATATCAGGCAAGTAATTTTATGATAATCCTTTAATTAATTACGATGGTAATTAGATTGTTATATAAACAAACACAAACTATTAAGTGTAACGAGTATGTGGTGTGGCCAAACAAACGTGTCACATAGTCGAGACTTAATAAATAGATTTAAAATTTACGTAATAATTATTGATTAGACTAGAACAATAAATAATTAGGTGACATTATAGCCGAATAAATCATTTCATTATCTATAAATAATACTGCGATAGTTATTAGAAATTGTCTAATCAATTTATTATATATATCTTAGTCAATTAACTAACTTTTAATTATTTTTTGGCAGGATGAACTGCTTTGGGGAGCAGCATGGTTGAGAAGAGCAACTGAAGATGACACATACCTTAATTACGTAGCAAGTAATGCCCACACTCTTGGGGCTGATGACAATATCAATGAATTTGGTTGGGACAATAAACATGCTGGTCTTAATGTACTAGTCTCCAAGGTTGGTAACATTTTTCTAACCCTCTTTCTTCTAATAACTTCCAAATAGTTTTGAAATCATATATATAGGACATTGTTATGGGTTCGGTATTGATGTACATGCTCGGATTTTACTCCGATACATTCTTAGTTTCTTACTTTGACGGACCTTGATTTAATTCAATAATATAACGTTTCATTGTTGTTAATTGTTTGTTGATCGATCAATTTTCATTGATGATAGAAGATTTAATATGTTTTACATTATGCATGAGGTAAGAAAAAGGTCAATCTTTTTTCCAAGTGTTGGAGTTGGACCATGCAATTTATCATAATGCATGCATCTTGAATTCTTGATAATCTGTTTTTTGTTGGGCCTACACAAAATATGATAGCGTATTCCTAGGAACATGTTTGGTAGAGTCAAATTTCTTTCTTCTTGTACATTTATTTCTAAGTTGCTATGATTTTTTGTGACGCTCAAGGCAATTGAATTTACATGTCTCCCTTATAATGTTTATGATACAATTTTTGCAATAGCTTTTTTCTAGTTAGTTTTACCGATTAGGAATAAGGTTGCGTATATCAAAATAGATCGTTCTATTCGTTAAATTAACACAATATTTATGTTGCAGGAAGTGCTAGAAGGAAGCACATACTCTCTACAACTCTACAAATCATCAGCAGATAGTTTCATGTGCACATTAATCCCCGAAACCTCGTCTTTCCACATTGAGTACACCCCCGGTGGCCTCATCTACCGCCCGGGGGGCAGCAATCTCCAACATGCCACAACCATATCTTTTCTCTTACTCGTGTACGCAAAGTACCTTGACAAAACGTCTCAAACCGTGAATTGTGGTGCCGTTAGCGTTGGGGCCGACAAGCTCCGGCGGATAGCGCAAAGGCAGGTTAACTACATTTTGGGTGAGAACCCCTTGGGAATGTCCTACATGGTAGGATATAGTCTCAAGTACCCTCAAAGGATTCATCATAGAGGTTCATCATTACCTTCTATTAAAGACCACCCTCAGCCCATTGCTTGTAAAGAAGGGTCCATTTATTTTAACTCGACCCAGCCCAACCCAAATGTCCACATCGGTGCTGTTGTGGGCGGGCCTGGAGAGGATGACTTATACGACGATAATCGGGCTGATTTTAGAAAGTCCGAGCCCACCACCTACATTAATGCCCCATTAGTTGGGGCCCTCGCTTATTTTACAGCTAATCCAGGCCCAAATTAGTGATAATGGGCTACTAATCACATTTTGTATATATAAAAAAAAAAAAAAAAAAAAAAATCAGTAGCGATTACATCTTCAACCACACTTGGACAATACCCCGTCCATACTCTAGTTGAAAACTCGAGCAGGGTAAGGTGAGTCATAGCATGTGCTACGCGATCCTCAATAGTTCTTAAGCTCAACCCATAGGTTTTTTTTTTTAATGTACATGGGAAGTGTCTCTCATCTTGTGTGAAGCCGAGAAGGAAGAGGCTTATACGTCCATTTTTTTTTTTTTTTTTGTGGAGAGAAATTAAATTTCGATCTTCAGTGAGATTGAGGAAGGGAAATCCTCCTACAAGTCACAATAAGTCATTGTGATTTTGCATTAATGATGTTGTCAATTTGATTTGTGTTTGATGTAATGAAATAGTGATGCCGACACTTTTATACTGTAGTATTGGTGTTGCCATTGGTACTTCCATAGTTAGTTAAAAGAGTATAAATATAGTACTATTCCATACCTTTTTTATAATGCTTAAATCTTAATCAATACTGAACTGATTGGTGTTAAACTGAACTGATTGGTGCTAAACTAAACTGATATTTTATGAGAGAAGGAAATTAGGAACTGAACTGATATTTATGAGAGAAGAAAATTAAGAAGTGAACTGAAAATAATATGAAGAATTGAAGAGAACATGCCTTAATTAATATGGAGTCATACTTAATCTATAACTATAACTAAAGTAGAAACCACTACATCACCGCTGCCTATGTGTCAGGTTTTTATTAAAAAAATTCCCGCCAAAACTATAAGTGACATCATCCTTTTTAAGTTTTTTTTTTCAAGATAAAGCTAATGTTTGGAAAAACTAAATTAATTACACATTTTCATAAAAATTTAATTTTTTTTTACTAAATTGACTAACAGCACAATTTCCTTATTAAAAAAAAAATACTGCGTAATTGGTGGTAGCTCCTTCATCTTTCCTTCTTTCCTCCTATATTAACCTCTAAACACTAATGCTATCATTTTTTTAATTTTATTTTAATTTTAATTAGAATATTTAACATCATGTCTTCTACGGAGTAATACAAATGAACAAATATTTTATTGCTAAAATCATGCATCGCACAGGACTAATCTAGTGTAAAAGTAAATAAATTTCTTGTAGTGCAATGTCAATAGAGTGTGCAATAGTTTATTGTATGATCCAATAATTATTCCAATATATTTATAAGAAGTTACAGTAACTAATAACTTCCATACACGTAGGTTACAAAACTAATTTTCCAACAAGAATTTCAACTAAATTAATAAATTATAGTTAGTTTCCATAAGTAAGACAATTATGTTCAAAAATTTGGAGACCATACACATTAAATGAGTGGGGAATTAATTTTGATCAAAAGACTGAAAATTGGACAAATAAGTCAATTAAATCGGTGCCCGCCCGATAAAATTCGTGGAGAAATATGTATGGTCGTATGGATCAAAAAAATTAAAATTAAATCCATTTTTATTCAAGTACTCGTATAATTAGGACAAAATGTTTAAGACATTTAATTCGACAATGACGTAATAAATAGTGTGTTATGCTCACCATTGAAAAATAATTACATAACAATATAACATCCATAATATTATTAAAACTCAAAGACACAAGTGCACAACCGCATAACATACTAACATCATGTGTCACCATTCCTTCGTTATGATTTGGTGTTACATGTCTTAAATGTCACCTTATGTGTCATCACTCTTCTCTCATTGTGTTGAATTGTGTTAATTTATATTTAGTCTCTTTGAAAACCTTTTTATTAGCGTAAATATAATTCTTTATATTTTTATAATAGTGTTTAATTTTTCATATGTATAACCTCTTATAATCTTATTATATTTTTATTTACTTATTATTCAACATTAACTAAATTAAGATGATTCGGGATACCACCTGAGCTAATAACTAACGCCAGTAATTAAGTAAGTTGGCATTTGAATATTAATTTCATAAAAGAAGGATATAGAAGTTGGCATTTGATTCTTGTCGATCAACATAACTACATGTATAATGCATTAATTGACTACTTACGTACCATTGACGTATTGTACCGTACGACCACATTAATTGTAGTTATTAGTAGGGTATACGGTACGGTTGGGTCAAGTAACTAATTAATCAAGCTTGATGTGATTAGCAGCCATCAAGCATTTGAGAGTCTAAGGTGAATACTGAGAGTCCGAGATCAAATGTTGTCTATATCATTTTTTTTTTTAGTAAGTCTTTTTTTTTTTTTTTTTTTTTCCTTTATGGATTCTACAATCTTCCTAGAAAAAAAAAAGAAGAAAAATAACTCATATTTTTCAGTATAGATGTGTATCCAGCCATCCAGGTATTAAACTCAACTATTTTATTCTGTGATTTTTATTTTTAATTTTTTTTGATATTAGAGAAAACTAAAAGGGATGAATTAATATAAGAGTAACATGAGAGCCAATGATATTTTTAGAAAAATAAAATAAAAATGTGAGTACCAAAATTGAGTCACATGAATACATGCATGATGCTTTGAAAAATTGATGATAGTGCTTAATTAAACTGGCAGCCCAAAATTATAAAACGCGTCTAAAGATATATACATGTAGTTTGCCAGCCCAAGATTTTGCCAAGATTTCATTTTCAATTCAAAGATCCTTGACTGTCAACACGTGTCACAATAAGAACACTCAAGAGAGCTCACCTATTAACATGACTCAGCCTCTGTTACAGGTAAGCTACCAATTATCCGACGTGGCCCAATTAAATTTTGCCCAATTTCATCTGGAAAACTATCAAAATTAATTGAAAAAAAATCTCAGAAAAAGAAAAATCTTATTCTCACCAATTAAAGAGATTCTCAATATTAATTAAGCCTAAAACGTGAGATGAGTTATAATTTTCTTAGCACATCTTTTGTTAGTTTGTTGCCATTTGTATTTTTGAGATATGTTAGATTAGTGAATCTTGTACTACTGAAAAACTTTTTTAGATGTTGATTGTTGACATGGAATGTTAAATAAATTGCAAAAGTATATATACCAAAAATTAAATTGACTAAATTTGCATTAGTATTTTTATTTATTTATTTTTTGTTGTTGTTGATTAAATTTTATTAAATCGGCTATATCTTAGATCTTGGGCGACCCAACAACAATTATGAGGGCTCGATCTACTTACAAAATTATAAAGTGATTTAGCTCTTTTCTTCTCCAATATGCAACAACTTACATATTAAGTAGACAAATTTAGCTCTTTTCTTCTCCGATTAAGTAAGCTAATATCAGTCCCTAGTAAATAGTAATGTACTCATGCAAAGGCAACTAAAAGGCCCTAGTAATGAAATTGATAGGGTGTTCAAATTTCAAAATAATGATTCTTATATTGAAAATCTACCAATTTATTTTTATATAAAACCACCCTGACATGCAATTCTAAAAAAAGTCGTCAGTCTTGCCTTGGGCCAACCCATGCTAAATTTTAAAAATGATATCTATGCATGATATATGACCACTATAACCCACCACCAGGCCTCTCATTAAAGTTGTCAAAACCTAATTCACTCGATCTCACCGACTTCGATCCGAATACTCGAATTAATACATCTACCTCTCATGCCATATCAAATCAATTTCTTGATTGGCATCAATGACCCTCAGTGCTTGTCCCATGCCAAAGTCCAATAGTATTGGGCTTGAAAATGAAAACCAAACCAAATGGGTTGGATAATTTCTATAGGTGCATGGCTCAATAAGCCTCAATTCAAAAACGTTGACCAAATAAAATCTTCAGATTTTTTTTCCCTTATAATTTCCTTTTTGTGTGTGAAGGATATTATAGGAATACAGTGTTACTGTGACATAGTAATGAAAAACACGGGTAAGATCATGTCAACGTTGTCAAAAAGCAAAAAAATTAATCCATCTTTCACTAACCAACTATCCCTACTGTAATACTACGTACTACTCTCCATAAAAATGACTATGCATGTTTTTAATCAGTCAACTAGTCTAAACTATGAGCTGGTATTTTGTTGTAACTCACAAGTTTATTTATGACCCCTTTTTTCTCCTTTCCACCCTCATATAAAGGTTACCATACAATTCACCCAAAAAAAAAAAAAAAACCTCACCTTCCAACATATTCCACTCCTAAGAAAAACCAACTACCTTACTCCCCACAAAATGTCAATAATAACATTCCTCATCCTTTTCCTCTTCCTCTCGCCCTCCTCGAACCTTGTCGAGGGCACGAGGCCACTAGGCTCGAGCTTCAGAGATGAGTACGTGTCATTGTTGGTGCCACAACCAATTGGGACTCCGGGCATGCCAGATGGGTATACCGGTAAGGAATTAGATGATTGCTTACCAAAGCACTTTCGGCGCAACTCGGCCCCTAGCCATTATGTCAACTACCACACTATGGATGAAACATTGTGCTCCAACGATAAGAGGACGGTACCAATTAAACCTTGAAGATCGATGTGATGTCGTATGTGACTAACGGAATTTGCGTGCTCAAGTGTTATGTTGATCGGTCGATATTTATTTTTTCACCCAAATGACTATGCATTAAAAAAGACAATTATTGCTGTTTATAATCGTTCATAACTTCATATACTATACAACAACCAAATGTATCAAATTATATATGTATGGGTATATTACATGTTCTGAATTTTAGTGGAACGAAATATATGTATTAACCTCTACGTATTGTACATAAATTATGTTTTTCTTTTTCTTTTTAATTAATTAATTTATTTATTTATTTATTTATTTTAATTGACATTATATGGCTTTTAATTAGTGATTAATTATTGCTAGAATTACTATAGCATGCAAAATTTCAGTTTGAATTTTATTACTGGTAGAATTAATGAGAGTAGAGATATTTAACCTGGATTGGTATATTTGACTATTTGAGTGGAGGAGGCTTAATTTATTTTTACGTACTTCATGAATTCATTCATGCTATAACTCTAAAAGTTGACGTCTTTTTGCCAATCCACTTTTTTGAGTTTATTGATCGGTAGAGAAAGGAAGGCCATTGATATTTTTTTTAAATAGTAATGATAGTTAAACATCATATCAATGTATGAAGCTAGTATCTTTAGAATGATGGTACACAATATCCGAGATCAAATTATACTATGAATACTGATATTGTTATATATACAAACGTATTTATTTGAGATTGTAGGGTGCAGTGCATAATGCATACTAGTATGTATTATAGTAGATATTCAATTATATATAAAAGGTATTATCGAAAAAATTATAAAGATGATAAAATAGTCATTATCATTGGTTTTTTGTCAATTGGAAAAAAGCCGATCATTTTCAATGTTGAAGCAACTTCATTTATGTTTATACAATTATTATCAAGCTAAGTCACGTACTCATGTTAGTTTATTGTACTATTTACACTAGTTCACATATACTCTTCTTTGACCATTTTTTTTGGAAATCGATCCTTTTTTGACCATCTTTTGGTTTATGCATAAAATAGCGTTAAATTTTATTAGATTTGTCTTAATATCCATTGTTAATATGATCAACTTTTATAATCTTTATTCATAAAGGATTAACTTTTTTTTTTTTTAACAAAATCCACGAAGGATTAAGTTATTAAATTAATAATCAAAGTTCTTGTATAGGAAAAAAAAAAAAGTTCTTGTATAGGAATTTGATTGACCTAATTAAGAAAAAAAAAAAACAGTAATAATTATTGACCTAACAATAATCATTTTTTTGGGGTGAGAATAAAATGATTATTCATATGTATAATATCATAAATTGTTTCTTCAAAAAAAAAAAAAATATCATAAACTGTGAGAAAAAACTTAGTTATAAGTTATAAGTAGAGAATTATAAACAACAAATCCGTTGTAGTCTAGTTGGTCAGGATACTCGGCTCTCACCCGAGAGACCCGGGTTCAAGTCCCGGCAACGGAATATTTTTTTTTTTTTTAATTTATTTTTGCCGCTTCGAAATTTATCGTCTTCTCCAAATATCTAGCTTGAACCCTTTTATTTTGCAAATCCCCTTTTTCTCTCTCCTTTGATTCCTTTATAATTCCCTCAATTTGTCCCCAATTTCGTCCCTGTTTTTTCTGCTCTTTTCAGATAACTTCAAATTTGGTTAATATTCAATTATTCTTTCTCTTTTTTTCTTCAGAAATCAAAAGGTAAATTTCTAAAGGGTGTTTTTTTTTTTTTTTTTTTTTTTTTTTTTTTTCATTTTAATTTTATCTTAATTCTGGCTATTAGTTCATTATTTGTTGACTTGTATGCAAATTTGAAATCCATTTGTTCAATTAAAATTGTATAATTGATAGTTTTCTATCAATTCGAACTGTTCATTCTCACTTAGGGTTTTAATTTACGTCTAATTAACCAACTTGATGATTCTAATCAGATTCTTAGTCGATTTTTGTTTTATTTGAAACGAAATTAAGATTCCTGACAAAATTACGAGATATTAGATGTAGACGGAAATCCGAGGTTTTAGGTAGTGTTGGCATCCACAGAATCATGTTATGTTACTGTTTCATGGTTTTGTGCATCCTTTTGGTAGTTTTGATCACAAAATTGGTGTAAGATTGTTTCTACAATATGTGTGTACTGAATACTGATTTTAAGCTTTAAGGATCATAATACTGTATTAGTAAATTGAGAATCAAATGAATATTGAATGTAATTATAAAAGGTCCCTTTTATTGGCTGTATGTTGGTGTTTCTTCGATTGTCGTTTATTGGATACACACTGAGATTTGTTCGAATTCGTCTAGAATGAGGTTAGGTATACTCTGGTAGTTCATATAAATATGGAATTTATGATTTCTGTGGCTTTTTTTTTCTTTTAGTGTTTAGATATTGAAAAATGTGGTGTACATAATAAAATTATGAATGAGGGTCCATTAAGCTTTTATTAGCTATTAAGTATGTTTTGCTGTGCTCATAGATAAGGGTCATCTTGTTATGGAATGATGAATGTTGATTTGCTAGCAATGTTGTTTATGATACAGCACGCGTTTTAGCTTTGAGTTAATCAGACTTAGGAACAATTTAAAAGATATTGTGAACAATCCATAACTTAGTAGTTTTGCATAACTAGAGTTAACATGTGTTGGTAATTGATCTTTTTGTCATTCCTTTTCATGGAATAGAGCCATCTCTGGAACTGCTAACTCAACATTGATAACAGGCTCTGAAGTTCGAGCTTTAAGTTTTTTTAACATGAATCAGTGGCAAGGCTGTTGTTCTTTTAATGACCTGCTCTTGATAATTATGCTTGGGATGTTCAATCATATCTTACTTTTTATGTTTGAATTTTCTCTTTTGATTAATTTTTCATGGGATATCCATCTTTTTCATTACATTGCTGATTGCTGGATGTTCTTCTTTTGTATTCTGCGTATGCCTGAAGAGTTGTACAGTTGTTCTTGCCTGCTTCCTTGATTTTGTTTAACTTGAGTTGATTACAATGGTGAATTTTTTATTCTGCGCAAGTACTCATCTTTCCTTTTACTTGTCTGCTTGCAGGTGTGGTTATTTCATTCTGAATACTTTCCACCTATCATTAATTTGATTAATAGAAGGCTAATTTTTCAGCCTATGGCTATAGTAGATGATGATATGAAGGAAGACTCACTTCGTTCTGTCTTTTTGAACTCCCTAATATCCAACGTCGATGAAGAGAGTCTCTCTCTTGAAGATGTAGCTTGGGCTGATTCATGCCTGAATAAAGATGTGGATGATTCGGATACAGACTGGAGTTCTATTAAAGATGCATTATTGGAGATTATCAGCGCTCAACCAGAACCTCCAGCCACGTCAGTGGTGCAGAGCAGTATGCAACTATCTGCTGATGAAATTCCTCAATTCAGAGAAAATCTGATTAGTATGGATTTTGGCGCAGGATCTGATGAAGATGAGGATCTCATAGATGGTGATTTTGGAGAGATTGAAAGCATTGATTTATCTGAAGATGATGAAGATGATTTTGTAACCAGAAATAAGAGAGGCAGGGTGAGAGGAAAAGTTCTTAACGTTTTCCGCCCAAATTATTCTGAAGACGTAAAAGCAGAGAACCTTGATTCTGATTTGAACTCGAGTTTGACAACATTTGAGGTGAATACTTCATTGGAAGACATCTTCAAAGTCTGGGATCTTGGGATTTCAGACGAGCAAGATGAGTTTGGAAAACAATTGAACAAAGCCCTTGCTGATGTTCCTTCACAGATTCAATCAAGTTCCAGTGATTCAGCAGTAGTATTAAATGATCCGATGCAGGTGTCTATAGATGATGTCATTGCTGGCATTGGTGATCTGTCTCTCAAGCAGTATACAGAATGAGTTGTTCGTTTGCTTCTAACTTTTCTTGTTCATATACAGAATGAGTTTTTGGTCATATATTCATCTGGTAGTTTTACATTTCTGCCTTCTACTTCTACACTATGAAACTCGAGTTTCTGTAAACTTGTTTTTGGCCTTCTGCTTTTCCTAGAAATCAGAAATGTGCTATTGAAATGTTCTGCTTTGCTGGTAAATTGTTTATCTTCAAAGTATTTAATTTCAATGGAAGTTGAAGTGCAAGTGTTCTTTTTTAGAGTAAGCCTGTAATTGTACACTCCTTTTGGATTTTTTCATCTCTATTGGAAGCTCATAAGTTCAGTAATCAGTATCCATGTCATTTAAAATTGATTTACAGGGACTTAATCATTTGAGTATTATAGCATAACACGAACATTAACTTTATGCTATGTGGTAACGATAACGGGTAGGGGAGGGAAGGAAAGAGGGAGAGAAAGGAGTAGGCTAGCCTTTTCCTTTCTATGCTAGCCTCTTTCTTTCTATCGCTCATAAGCATCCTGTTCTCTTTCTTTCCAAATTCCTGAGTCCAAACGCACTGCAACTTCTTTTTGAAGGAAATGAGAACCAAGTTCCATGATTTTGACATAGTCACTCACTGTTAGTGATACCGTAACTACTTTCTGAAACGGGCATTGAATGACATATTCGGACATCATGATTAGCACGAGGAATCATGTGATTATACGGTAATTAAGCAGGGTATTATTGTAAGTATTCTATACTCTACAACTTTATAGTTTGTATATCTTAAATGTCTAGCTTTTTTTTTGGATGTGGATGAGAATATGTCAAAAATGTATTTGGTTGTGATAGTATTGCTACTGATATCCATACTGATGTGTAAAATCCCATTTCTTCAAGTTGAAAGATAAAGCCAAGATAATGGGACATAAGGGTGGGCCCACACCCTTGATCAACGAAGATGGTTCATCCACATGGTTTTGAACCACAATCTTTGATTTGAAATGGCCAATTATTAACCGTCAAATGTAGTTCATCAAACCTTACCCTCAAAATCCAGTGATTAACTAATAACCATTTATCTCTAAAATGCTAAAAGACATTTTTAGAAGGATAATAGCCTCATATTCACCTTTCACTGATAGGAATACATTGCAATCTCTGCATCATCTGTCATTTTTTTCCTATTTTTTATTTCTATTTAGATTTTCTCGCTTATCGAGCTCGAGGCGTGCCAACTAGGCAAGATTTATCATCCACATGGCGGTACATCACTGGCCGAAGCATGACAGCCTCTCAAGCAAGACATATTATGATAACATGCATAACTAGACTTATATAAATTTGTAGTACTGAAGCATTGATTAGCCTGTGTGGTAGAGTTTGCTAAGAGGAGGGATAAGACTTTGCATATCTTTTGGCTAGTCTATTCTGTTCTCTTTAGCATACACAGTTCATTGAAGAAAAATGGCCTCAGCTTCTCTTCTCAAGACCTCACCAGTCCTTGACAAGTCTGACTTTGTCAAGGGCCAGACCCTCCGCCTTCCTTCAGTTGCTGGTGTCAGGTTTGCTCCCTCGGCTCCATCGTCTCTGACTGTCCGCGCCAGCTCCTATGCCGATGAGCTTGTTAAGACCGCGGTACGTTAACTTTGCCTTTTCTATCTCTTACTGATTAAATGTTATGATGTTTGCTCATGTACGTCTGTTAGCTACAGTATATAGTTATGATTGCTCCTGAAATTTATGCCTATGATTCTGAATAGTACTTCCTCTGTTGTTAATTAGTCGCTACATTACTTTAGTCATGTTTGCCAACGCATATTCTCAACCATTTATACTTTTAAATATCAATAAGGAATCGCTATAAAAATTGATATCTATAGATTACACATGGAGATTAATCTAATCTAACAAGAGTTCACGTGACTTTGTTTTTATTTAACACAAAGTATAGTCTAAGTAGATTATATGGATAGTTTATAAAAGAAACATAGCAACTAAGTAATAAAATACCGAGGTAGTATAAAAATAGAATATAATAGAGAATAGAAGTTATAAAGAAGAAAATAAAAAAAAGGAGTTTTTGTAGACATATATAATGACCGGGAGAAGTATCTAAGTGGAGATTCTATGATTCTCTGACACTTGTGTTTATGATTTTGACTACCTTAAAAGCTTATCCATGTTGAAGAACTGTAGTGAATGGTTTACCAAACTGATGCTAGCTCTAGTAGTTATAGTTGTCTACTGTAACATTATTAAAAAAGAATTCAGAATCAAAGTTGTTTATTTGTGGGGGTTGTATGCAGAAAACTGTGGCATCACCTGGCCGTGGAATCTTGGCCATGGATGAGTCGAATGCCACCTGTGGGAAACGTCTTGCCTCAATCGGTCTAGAGAACACCGAGGCTAACCGCCAAGCCTACCGTACCCTTCTGATCAGTGCCCCAGGCCTTGGTCAGTACATCTCTGGTGCTATCCTCTTTGAAGAGACTCTTTACCAATCCACCACTGATGGCAAGAAAATGGTTGATGTCCTCATTGAGCAGGGGATTGTTCCCGGTATCAAAGTTGACAAGGTTCGATATCTTGCCACTCTCTGACATGTAGATTAAATTAGAACAGAAAAGTAAGTATGCTAGTATAATATTGATATGTGAACATTGATAATGTACTATTTTACAGGGTTTGGTGCCACTTGCTGGTTCAAATGACGAGTCATGGTGCCAAGGTCTTGATGGTCTTGCTTCCCGCTCTGCTGCTTACTACCAGCAGGGTGCCCGCTTTGCCAAATGGTACATAACATGATTTTACTCGAAGTATGACTAATTGACTATGTATTTGCTTGTTAGATAATGTCAATATTCACAACAAATATTGGATTGTTGATTTTCTACAGGCGTACTGTTGTGAGCATTCCCAATGGCCCATCTGCCTTGGCAGTGAAGGAAGCTGCTTGGGGTCTTGCTCGCTACGCTGCTATCACCCAAGTAAGCAACTAAAAACCAGAACCTAAACTTTTTATTATAAACTATTTCACTTTTATTGGTTCTAATAAATCGTATGTTGTATTTAGGACAATGGGTTGGTCCCAATTGTTGAGCCAGAGATCTTGCTTGATGGTGAGCATGGAATTGACAGGACATTCGAGGTTGCTCAGAAGGTTTGGGCCGAAGTGTTCTACTACATGGCAGAGAACAATGTGCTCTTTGAGGGTATCCTTCTTAAGCCAAGCATGGTTACCCCAGGTGCTGAGTGCAAGGAAAGGGCCACCCCTGATCAAGTTGCCGATTACACCCTCAAGCTCCTCCACAGGAGAATCCCCCCATCCGTCCCTGGAATCATGGCAAGTTCCTATACCTTCATTACACTTAATACTAAAATGCTGAATTTAATTGACTTAAAATTATTCATTTATTATCTGTGTACTTTTATCATACATTTTAGCAAAACATCATGTACTGCCTTCGACCCTAAATTGTAGGCCACATAGTACCCGATAAGCTATGTTGATTAAGGTTTATCTCTTTATCGTTCATGGTTTCTATCCTGTCCATTCATTGCCCCTTAATACTTGAATGTTGAATATAAGGTATTAAGGTTGATCCCTAAATCGTTCAGTTATTAATTGTGAATGTTTACTGATATTATACATTTTATAGAAATGTCATGTATACTACCTCAGTGTGAAGAATTTAGTGTTTCACCCCTTTGATCATTTCCTGAGAATATTGTTGTGATTTTTGATTTGTTTTGGTTGGCAGTTCTTGTCTGGTGGGCAATCTGAGGTGGAGGCAACCTTGAACTTGAATGCCATGAACCAGAGCCCCAACCCATGGCACGTATCTTTCTCCTACGCAAGAGCCCTTCAAAACACCTGCTTGAAGACCTGGGGTGGAAGGCCCGAGAACGTGAAGGCTGCTCAAGATGCCCTGTTGCAACGGGCCAAGTCCAACTCTTTGGCTCAGCTCGGTAAGTACACCGGTGAAGGTGAGTCCGAGGAGGCCAAGAAGGGCATGTTTGTCAAGGGCTACACTTACTAAGAAGATCATTACTGAGTGGGAGTTCTTATTAGATTAAGTTTGTTTATTTTAATGGAGGTTGATCATGGACCTAAAATTTGTGTATTTAAGTTTGAAGGCCCTAATGATGTGATTAACGGCCATGAAACAGACTTTTTTGGTAATTACTTAAATTGTATGTACCTTATACTCAAGTTTTAATAAGATTGTTCAGCTACTAATGAGATTTACCTTAGCTCTTGGAAATTTGTTATTGCTTTTTACAAGGGTTTGAAATGAATATGAATTGAATCGATTTTCTTCCAAACTTAAATTTTAAGTATTCTTTACTTCTGCCACCATTGTTTACAGATTTGTTTCCTTGGTGCTTGCTTCATGTTAATTTGCGTTTTAGTTACATCAAACATTTCTTTAAGATATGGAAACAAGTAATAATGAGGAGTCCCTCTCTTTAAGGGAGCGTCTACCCATGATATAGAATCGAGAGAAGATGCAGACTATTTCAAAAATTTATATACATAGGGTGTATAACGGGTGATCAAAGTTAGCCATACTTTCTTGTTTCTTCAGAAATATGTTGGCTATACAATTAGTCGCTCAGTTTTTTTCCTAGATATGTGCAGTATCTATGATAAACTCTGTGTAGCTGTTGTCATTGCTTCTGACCAAGATCGTAAAATATCATAAGAGTCGTGTTGAGGTTGTTCATGTGGGCTGGGACGTGGTTGCTGTGATTGTCGTGGATGAAGCTGATGAGGAGTTGGTTTTACACGAGCCATCAAAATTAAGGTTGTAGCATCAATAATCCCATTGAGGAAGTAGTTGGTGAACCACCGAACAAAGGTATGAGATACGTAGTGTTATGGTTGATGGGATTAAAAGAAGGTGTTGAAAGTGTTTGAGGTAAAAAGGTATATGTGATTACAACTTACAAGCACATGAGCAAAGAAATAACTTTAGTTGTACCATGCATAAGGTACAACCGATTGTACATTAAAAAATCACTAATTAAGTATTTTTCAAATTGCATATACATAGTAGTATAATTAGAATATTTTGTTTTTTTCAATTTATGATATGTGGGCGGTAGAACTATTGAAATTGAAGGGCATTTTTCTTACCTAAAAATATTGAGAATACAAGCATATACTCTTGTGCTCCTTGTGTATAAGACTTCATATTTATTAATTATAAATTAAATTAACAAGTAGCGTTTGTAGTCCAACGGTTAGGATAATTGCCTTCCAAGCAATAGACCCGGGTTCGACTCCCGGCAAACGCAATTTTTTTCAATACCATCGTCTGTTTTATTATTGTCATGGTT